GGGCACCAGATCTCATCACAGATGGGTGTGAGCCACCATGTGGTTGCTAGGAATTGAACTCAGGACCTTTGTAAGAACACACAGTGCTCTTAACCTCTGAGCTGTTTCTCCAGCCCCCTCTTTCATGCTTCTTATTCTCCATCTCTCACTCAAAACACAAACACACACACTATCTCTATCTCTGTCTCTCTCTGTCTCTTTCTCTCTCTCTGTCTCTCTGCCTCTCTGTCTCTGTCTCTGTCTCTGTCTCTCTCTCTCTCTCTATGTTCTGCAGCAGCTCTCACTTAGGTCTCCACACCAACTCTGCAACTCTCACAGCCGAACTCTGGACAATTAAAGTCACATTTTCAAGGCCTGACCCATTCTCATAACACAAGATATATCAAGTAACTTCTCTTAGGCTAGCAATGTCGCATTGACACATGCACGTAGCTCTAAGTCGGTGAGGATTCCTATACAGTAAACAATTGGCTGAACCTTGAGGTGGGCAGTCCATGAAGAAAGGTCCATTGCTGCAGGGAGTTATGCTTACTAAGGTTGCTTCTATTCTGACCTTGAATCAGTAAAGCAACACCTAAGAAAATGACCTCTTGTATCTGTCTCTAGGGGCAGCCAGATATTTGTCTCTAGGAGCAAGCAGCCTGCTTTGAAATTGTACTAAAATCTACAGTTACCTGCTGTCTGTGTAAAAGTCTGTCTTTGTGACTGAGAATATGTCAGTCTGAGTAAATGTAAAATACCCTAGTATTATTTCTACTCATTAGAACTATACAATCTAGGCAGAAATCATCATCCTGACCATCCAAAGCTATGTGTGTGCCAAAAAAGTATAAAACACACCACCAAAGGGCTGTGTCAAGAACCCCACAGCTGTTCTTGTTAGGGAGGCCCTTGAGAAACCTATGGACAGGAACAACCAGTCATTCAGATTCCAGTCAATACCACACAGCTTTGCCAAGAGGGGCTCCCCAAGTGGGTCAACTTCTTAAACACTGCTGGTCACCACTGTACATTCCCACACCCCCCTGCAGTGCCAGTCATGTCTTGCTTTCCTGGGTCTATAGGGACTACCTGACATAAACAACAGAAACTAATATGTGACCTCCACACCCTCAAACACAACAGCATGCATTGGTCTCACAGCTACAGAGAGGCTAACTTCCTAGGGAGACGTTTCAGAAAAAGCCCACAAACACAGGTGGGCTAGTTCACTGAAACACATACATGCATATGTGTCATCAACATTGATATTGCAAGTGAAGACACTTAATGCAGACCGCAATGCTGGAACTAAAACCAGTGTAACTACCCTACTGACACCCTGGGGCAAAACTACCAAATGAAAGTCCCTTGCAAAAAAAAAACCAAAACAACAGCCAAAAAACTATGCTACAAAATCAGCAGAGGCAAGCAATCAACCACACACAGGTATAAGAATAAAGATACAATAATATCTTCCTTGTAAGTGTAACAAAAGAAATCAATTCATTGCCTTAAAACCTGAAAATGTTGATTTTAAGGAGACTTGACAAGATGTAGAATAATACAGACTTTACTAAAAATAAATTAAAAATCCACCAATTGGATGAGAACCTTAAAAAGCAAATAGAGTTCATAAAAAGAACCAAACAAATGCCACTGAGAACTCAGGAAATGAAATAAAAATATCATTGATTACATCATGCAGAAGGAAGAATTATGACGTTGAAGACTGACTTTTCAAATAACACAACTAGATGCCCCCCAAAAAGGAAAATGACAAAGTACATAAGGCTAACCATGCATTATAAGTGAAAAGTATTCACTTATTAAAGGAGTTATGTAGAGTGAAGCTTTTCCCTTGCCAGCCACTTTGGTTTTTCCCCACCAGTCGGTCGCCTGGGTTCTGTCAAGTTGTAGTCGCCAAATAATACACAAGATGCTGTATTAATTATGAAGCTGTTGGCCTTGCTTGTTTCTTACTGGCTAGCTCTGACTTAAGTATTTATCCCATAATTGTTAATCTAAGTAATTCTCTTACCGGAGAAAAGTTCTGGACATCTTACTTCTCTGGCGGGCTACATCGTGACTCCCTGTGTTTCTCCAACCCAGAGTCCTGCTGGACTCCTAGTCCACCTATCTCTCTTCCCTATTGGCCAACAGTACTTCATTGACATATACACAGGACTTCCCCATCATCTCCTCTTTTCTGTCTAAACAAAAAGAAAGGTCTTAACTTTAACATAGTCAAATTATATATAACACAACAGTTATCAAGTAAGAACACAGTTACAATATTTTGTTTATCAACATTCAGCAAGATTTAAAGACAATATCATCCATCCCATCCTTGTGAGTCCAAAGTTCTATATGTAACTTATCTTTTATCATAACTAAGGAAAACTATAATTATAACTATCTGCCTTCAACTCTATCAAAGACCACAGAAGGATAATATATAAACACTAGGATTGACAGAGACATCTTTCTACCTGAACAGTCACCCGAAGTTCCTCTGTAATGTCGGGGCATCCATCTTCATCCCACAGGCCACAGTGTGTCTGGAACACTTCTCAGCAAAGCAGGAAATTTCAAACTGTCCATCTGTATCAGCAGTCTGTCAGTCATTTTTCTGTGTCCCGTAGAAAGTCTCGTAGACTCTTCCATGAAGCAGGAACCCTGAAGGACTATTTGAGTTCAGTAGTTGCTTTCCTGTGGGTCCTGCATATCCAGTTTATACAGAAACAGTCCAGCAGTCTAGGCAAGAGCAGTTTCTTGCCCAAATGGCTAATCTTCCCATGTTAAAAGCAAACTCCATAATGAGTTTCTTCGATGCCCATCTTCCTCTCAGACGTAATTGGTGCTGCCAGGAGCAGACATTTCTCATTGTTAAGAAAAACCCTAAACCATTTTAAATGCCATTTTCTGTTCATTGGCACAAGTTAGTTGCTTTAAGTTTAAATATCTTTTTTAGACGAAAAGGGGAATTGTAGGAGGAAACAGTGCTCCGCCATTATCCATGTGACTTAGCGGCTCATACAGATGAGGTAATAAAAGGGTGGTTTACCGCACCTATAACCACACCCACTTTAGGCATGACTAAAGACTTATACGGACATAGTCGGTGAACTTGGTCACTATGCAGGCCCACTTTTGGGCATGTCTAGGGGCATGTACAGAGGAAGTAATAAAAGACTGAACAGCAGAAGTCTCACCCTCTTTTCGGCTTCTAGTTTGGTGGCAGAAAAATACTCTGCTCATCTGGGTTACTTGTTTGTCTCTTGTGAGTAATTTCTACAATAAATACTTACTTATACTTTCAGTAAATGTGATGTTTGTCATTGTAGCATCAGAGTTACAGAATGAAAAGAAACCTACTTCATGAAGGCTGGTGAGGTGTCTTGGTACTTAGAAGCACTTGCTTCCAAGTTGACACCATTAATTCCATCCCTGGAATGCACATGACACAAAGAGAAAACTGACCCATGTAAGTTTTTCTTTGACCACCACACACATATTATAGCATGTCTGTGCAAGACACACACACACACATAGATGGATAGATAGATAGATAGATAGATAGATAGATGATAGATAAAGATATTAAGTTAAATAATAGCGGAAAGCCTTCCAAATACTGAGAAACACACGGTAAACTAAGTAAAATAAATTCAAAGGACTCTGGTTAGATTAAACTGATATGGTCCTGTCAAAGACACCCTATATTCGAACTCTCAAAAGTAAAAGGTAAGAAATTCTAAAACAAGAGAAATATGCCAAGTCCACAAGAGAAACTTTACAGAAATGGATTAAAATTTACAATTAAAAGAATTAGTTTGGCAGAATAGAGTTCAAAAGTGAAATTAAACTGTATGTTGTCTACAAAACCTGATAAGACAATGTGGAAGAATGGAAAGACACCCACTGGTTGGAGAAAAGCAAAACCAGGCAGGAATGAGGGAGGGAGATCTGCAGTCTGTTTTGATGAAAGGGCACACAAGACCCTGTCACATGACTCTATTGAGCCTGGTTCCTTTGCCATTAGTGAATGCAAAGGAGAGCCAGGTCTATATCATCGATCACCCCCAGCCATCTATTCCCTACAGAAATAGAGACCAGACTGAACTCAAGCAGTAGCAATAATAATATACTAAACATCACTGATGACCCGGCAAGACATAACAGTTAACACAGCAAAAAAGTGTGTGAGTGAATATGTGAGCATGTGCATGTGAGTGTGTGTTGATCAGAGAAAGTCTCATGAGCTGCAGCTCATACTTATCCAATCAAAAGAAACTGGATCTGGAAGATGTGCTCAGCATCCAAGTCATATGCTCAACCCCTTTCAAGCAGCAGATGACTGACCCAGGAGCAATGCAAGACATTCACCAGTGCCTAGATGTTCTGCAGACTGAATTAGAACCACTCACCATTCATTTTCCACAGACATTTCAGACAAACTATCTAGGTGCTATGTTTGCTTTGGTATATCCAGGAACCCACAAAAGCAATGATTGAAGCCACAGACTTAAGACATGAAGCACAGGGAAAGAGCCAGGGGTATGGTGACCACCACTGATGTCATACATAGCATCAGCATGAATATAACAACATTGCTTGATTTAAAAAATGATAATTTCTCAAAAAATCAAAATAAATGGATGAATATTTAAAGAAATGATAATTATTCCCCTTAAAATAAGGGCACTATGCATGTGTTAAAATATCACACTATACCCCATAAATTCACATAAAAATATTTGATTAAAAGGAAAATTAAAAAGCAAATAAATGAATGTTCCAGACTAACAAAAAGGAAGGAAAGTGGCACAGGTCAGGTCTGGCACTTAGCTAGTGTCAGCTGAAAAATCATTTCTCTGCCTCTCAAGGTAAATCATTCACTTTAATTGACCAACTGCACTTTGTAAAGAACCTCTGTCTGCCTTAAACCTTCTCCCTCCCACGGCTAGGCAGGAAGCCCTCATAGGATTTATGCAGGAGGTAGAGAGGATTCCTGAGAGTGAGGACACTCTGTGACTTGTGAGTGCCTGCACCATGAGTGTCTCTGCTCTGAGCCCCAGCAGATTTGCAGGCAGCCTCTCTGGCTTCCTCCAAGTGGCCTCAGTGCTTGCCTTACTTTTACTGCTGCTTAAAGTGGCCCAGTTCTACCTGCACAGGCAATGGCTACTCAAAGCTTTCCAGCAGTTCCCATCCCCACCCTTTCACTGGTTCTTTGGACACCAGGTATGAAGGGAAGAAGGAAAGGGAAGGTTGGTGGGAGAGCGGGGAGGATAGGGGATCTCAGAGACCGGCCATCAAGATCACAGGATGCAGCCCACTGTATAAAAATGCCAAGTACTTCATGAGACACACAGCTTAGGCTGAGATACCCTCCAATATTAGGGTGGCTCAACATGTCTGGCTGTTGCTCTGCTCTGCCCTCACTTGGAAGGCTGTGGTTGAGCCTACCTAGTTTCCTCCTTTTCGGGATGAGCACCTTCAATAGCCTCTGGTGTTCTCAAACAGCTTCTGGGTGGTTCCCTGCATACTCACTCATGTATACTCTCTTCCAAGCTCAGAGATTGTCTGGGAATGCAGACATCAGTGAGATGGAAGCCTTGCCCCAGGAGCTTCTAGGTGTATCAATGACACATATCTCAGGAGCTGTCAGACATCACACTGCTGGGATGACTGGGTAGCTGCCCCAGAAAATCTCGAGGAGAATTTTCATGATGTGTCAGTTACAACTGAAATCCCGAAGTCAGGGCACATAAAGACAAAAGGCTGTGTAGTATCCTCAAGTGAGATCACTGATATTAGAATTTCCTCAGGATCTGTTTATCCCTCCTTTCTCCTTCCACACAACCTGTACTGTAGGCTACTTAGGTTCAAGTACACCATCACATCACTGTATCACAGTGCTCATCCCAAGAGCCAGGCACAGATTCTGAGATCTCCCAGGAAGAAGATGATGTAGCAGCCTTCAAATTGGGAATGGACAGTACTGACTCCTTCTACTCTCAACCCAGGAAATAAGGCTCATAGACAAGCAGAAGGATATGTGGAGAGGCACTCAACAAAGGATTGTGCAATGGATGCTCTTAGAAGGAGATGGGAATGTGGTGCTTGTGTGTACTGCTGAGGATCCACCAAATGGCACTTTCAAATCCAAATCAGGACCAGTCCCTGATGTAGCAAAGCTCTGAATGATACCACAGATAGTCCATCAAAATGCTCCAAATCCTGGACTGCTTCTGAACACTCCAGAACTATGTTGGTGTTCTTGTTCTGCTCTTGCCTAAGGTCCAAAAAGCTAAACTACAGTTCCACTGCTTTATCTTTCCCTCAACAGCAGTTCCAAGGTGACCAAGAGATAGAGCAGGTTTTGAAGTGTGTGGAGAACTTTCCAAGTGGCTTTCCTCGCTGGTTCTGGGGGAGCAAAGCTTACTTTAGTGTCTATTACCCTGACTACATGAAGGTGATTCTAGGGCGATCAGGTAAGAGTATATCATTGTGAAATGATTTGTGCTTTCCTCATTATGATTACCTCTAGCGTGTCAAATTCCAGAAGGGTGTACCACTCACTCATTGCCCTACATACTTTATATACTATTCTCCTGGGCATCAACTCAGAACATGGCCTACAGCACTCGGTATTAAAATTTCAAACCACTTAGTCAAACTCTGTTACCTCTGTTTGTTATTTAATCAAATTAAGATGGAATGTTCTATAATTGCTCTAGATCTGAAAAACACATTTGAGATGCATAGTGGATTGAATTAGAAATCTCTAATTGTTACCTGCTTGGAATCATAGAATAACTAAGTTATGATCCACTGTAATACACACATGCAAACACACACACACACACACACACACACACACACACAATTGTTACACTTGCCCTGTTCTTTGACTTTAAGTACATGGACTGTTCTTCACCAACTCATCATCCTGCTCCAGGAGAGTCCAGCTACTGGTACATGAATCCAGCCTTCCTAAGCCTAACTGTTTGGACAAAGCTGGAAAGAGATGTGAGGAAATATACAATGGCATAGGACAGTTTGGAAACAGAGAGTCACTAAAAGATCACAGAAGCCCATGACTTCAACCACGGCTGCCTCAGTACTGCATTATTTCTCCCATTTCTTGTTTCTGTTTCAGATCCAAAAGCTAATGGTGCCTACAGGTTGCTGGCTCCTTGGATTGGTATGTGTGTGTAAATTGGAATTGTGGTCTTGTCCCAGTTAGATTTTGCAAGTTCCGTTACTCTCACAGAGAACAAAATGTGACAGGCCACCACTGTCTTGATCTAAGCCCCCCTCCCCACACACACACACAAACAGGAGTAGAAGTTCTACTTCTAACCCTGTATTTCACTAAGCAATCATATCTAAACATTGTGTGTGTTCCTCATTGGTCTACAACCCTCAACTCTTTTTTAATTTTTATTTATCTCAAAGCTGTCATAATCACAGAACATATGCCAGTCCCACCAGGTAGGCAATTCATATTATGAATTGTACCATTTTTCAGAGTAGTCATCCACAGCTCTACTTCACACTCCTCACCAAGTTTATCTAACTGTCTCTCTGATCCATCTCACACATACATACACACACCCATCTCTGGCCCAGGCTATGGTTTGCTCTTGCTGAATGGACAGCCATGGTTCCAGCACCGGCGGATGCTAACCCCAGCCTTCCACTATGATATTCTGAAGCCCTATGTGAACACCATGGCTGATTCCATCCGATTGATGCTGGTGAGTTCATTTGACTTTCTTCTCCTCTGCTGCTTTCAGCTCTGGTGTCCTTTCTACATCAGGTTCTGGTCTGCTAGTGCTTTTACTACCACAGCTCAGTAGCAGCAGCATCTTCTTCCTTCTCCTCTTACTGCTCATAATCCCCTCTCTCTTCTTTCTCTCTCTCAATCTCACTCTTTGTCTATTGAGAGTATACACCAACAGGCTCCCCATGTGTATTCTACTATGTATATAGGTTCTTCAAACAGAGATGAAACAGGATTATTCCAGGTACCAGAATATGGCCATACTTGCTCATTGACCAAAGCAAAGACCATCATGGTAGATAGGATTCCAAATTCCTCTTCATATCCTCAACTTAACAGAGACTTCACAGGATGACACTGAGTCAGAGTTTCCCTTCAGTCTCAATGCTTCTGAATAGACTTGAGTGACTCAGCAGGAAAAGGGATACCAAAACCATGTTGCCATTTCCAAACCTGCCATACCACTACATTCAACAGTACTCTGGATTATACTCAATTGTTCTCATCAAACTTTGAAAAATACATAGCAATTGTAGTTACTGGTGACCCTATTAGAAATGCCCATAGTAGCTACTTGGGCTTTCTTATGATTGATAACATGGAAGTCCTACCATTGACTCAGATTGGACTCAACACTCCAAACCCTGGTACATCGCCTACCTAAAACAATTTTGGTGTCACATAAAACATTGTAACTAGTTCCAAACATTTGAAACTTGTTTCCTAACTTATGGGTTTTGACATTTAATTATCAAAAGATTTACAGGAATTTTGGTATCCATTTACAAACATTTGTTTTGTAATCTATAGAACATATTATTTAAATTGAAGGACTTAGAACACAACATCTGAAAATATAGAGAAATAATACAGAATAACGAACACAAGTCTCTTTTGGAAATTCAGACAATGTCTTATTGTCCCTTTCTGACCCAGGAACTGCATTGGAAAACAGTTTGCTATGAATGAGCTGAAGGTGGTAGTGGCCTTGACCCTACTCCGCTTTGAGCTGCTGCCTGATCCAACCAAGGTCCCCATCCTTTTACCACGACTTGTGTTGAAATCCAAGAATGGGATCCACCTACGTCTCAAGAAGATCCACTGATTCTGGTTGGGACGCAGACAGACTCTATGAGTGTACTGCCTGACATTCCAGCTTCATGTCATCTGTGCCTTTCACCATCCTGCTTTCTATCTGCTCATTTTTCTTCACTCCCATTTGCTCCTTGTGTCCCCCTGTCTGTACCTGCCCCACTCCTTCCTTCCTCTAGATTCCCTGTTTCTTTCTGTCTCCTGCTATACACATCTGATCCCTAATCTCCTCTGTCCTCCAGCCTCCTCTCCTTGCCTCGTATCTTTCTGTCATCTTATTTTTGTGTACATGACTTATTCATAACTCTAATGATCAGCTGTCACAACCTTGGTTGTCTAAAATGACAGAAGGTTATTATCTTACAGCTCTGGATCTTAGAAGTTTGAAATGGCAGAAAAGCAAGTTGTTGGCACAGCCATCCTTCCTCTGCAGAGTTCTGTGGAGAGTCCTCCTCCTCCCCTTCTCAGAATAAACCATCATTTCTTGACACTGGACTCTCACACCCACTTTAAAGCCAGCATCCTCCAAAGCCCTCTCAACTAATTTCCTTAACTTTTCCAAAGACTCTTGTGACATCATCAAGCCCACTAAAAATCCAATATAATTCTCACATATCCATATCTCTTACTCAATCTAATCTACTATGCCCTTTTTAATTATGAGAAAACATTCATGGTCTCCATAACTTAGGGGTTAAACATCATTGTGAAGCCGTTGTGAAGTGTGGCTTTGTATTTACATGGCCATCACCCGGTCTGTTTGTCTACATCTCTCCTTCACAGTCTCTCTCCACCTGACTGTCCCTCACACAAGAGTCTCCATCTTCCCTGCTTTCAGCAATAAAGTTCCCCGTGTGGCACACAGTGTTTGTCATGTTCCCACATTGCTTCAAAGCACTCCTGGATCAGGATCCATGATGCCATGGACAGACTTCCCTAGTTTGCCATGTCTGCTTCCTGGAAAAGGCTTCTCTTGAAGCCACTGTATGCAACCAGGACCTCCTTCCTAGTCTCCTAACCTACCAGTTTGATGGGATGGTACAGGCCAGTTCTGAGGAAGTGCAGGAGAGTACAGACTGGACACGCAGTGCCTGATCAAGGGTAGAACCCAAATCCTGAACACAGAATTTCAAGCAATACAGAAAGTCTCATGCTGGACATACAGAGACACAAAAGTGAGAGCACAGAATCCTGGTGCCCAGCCAAGGACAAGTACTCTAAACACAGGATTCCAAATGGGATGGAATGTGTAACCAGAAAGTAATTCTACAGCCTGGAAGCAATGAGCAAGAGCAGCTCATTTCACTGTCATGTGCATTCCCCCTCCATGATGCACACAAACTGACACTCACGCGTGCACTGTATACACGCCCACAGCACCTTCCACCCACACATATGCATTAGTGTGCCCAAGGTCAATGGGGCCTCAGGGTGTGGTTGGTGTGAAATGTCCTGCAGATGAAACAGTGGTCATCGGTGATGGCCACCACTCCCAGTGTACACTGTCCCTCACCCAGGAGGTCATAATACACACACACACACAAGCGAAGACTCTACTACTTAGGAGAACACACAAACATCAGAGTCACAGTGCTTGGCTTTATTACCACTGATACAAATACTCAATAAGAACTCATATGAATGATGGAGTCTTGAACAAAAGGCATCTGAGTCAGGAAGATTTAGTTTAAGTTCCTCCTACATTAGTGTCTCTCAGGATCCTTCCCTTACTATTAAAATGCAGTCAGTTTCCTCCTAACAGAGAAGGGCTGCCTCCATCCTGTTCATACCCCACAACTCCCAAGGTTCCAAAGATCTAAAATGATATGGTTTAGATTCAGGTGCCACCCAGCAGCACATGGTGGTTATGAGTAGACACTGAGTGATAACAGTTGAAACCTTACTGCATTTGTTCAGAGAGCAGTCTATGTGGTGTTAGTACAGAAAGGTTAACTTTGCATTAGGGCTCATAGCCAACAGTCACAATGAAAAGGAACCTTTGCATCCCATCTTCTAGTTTACAAGGAGACGTGGGTCTTGACATGGCTTTATAATAGTTACCAAGTATCCTGGGGCAGATCTGCCAAGATGCAGCCTTCTTTCAAGTAGGAAAATATCTGTAGTAAGAAAGGTTTATGACACACAACCAGGACAGCCTAGGTCAGTGGTTCTCTTGCATCCTTATGCTGGGACCCTTTAATACAGTTACTCCTGTTGTGGTAACACCCAACCATTAAATGATTTTCATGGCTACTTTGTAATTGTAAATTCACTACTGTTATGAATCATACTACAAACATCTGTGTTTTCTGATGGTCTTAGGCTACCAATGTGAAAGGATCATTTGACACCCCACCCCCAACTCCTGTTGACTGTCCTTGGTAAGATAAGACCTTATAAAAATATATATTAGTAATAATGTGTGAAAAATTAAGTCAGAGCTAACCATTAAGAAACCATAACAAACATCCAACAGCTTTTTATTTAACATAGTGTCTAGTGTGTTATTTGGGGAATGAGACTTCGGCAGGACCCAGGCAGCTGGCAGGAAGAATACACATTACCCTTAGGAGTATGGTAAAGGGTCCCACTGCGAATTGCACCATTTCAAGTTTTCACTTGCTGTGTCTCACAAAAGGGAACACTACCCTGCCCATTTCCCAGGAAGACAACAATATAGCAGAAGTTCATTGTCACACAGCACTCTTTAATGATGCCTCCCCAGTGATGGTCTTCACTTGAGGACCTGAGAATGTTGTCTTTTTCCCTACCTGGGCCCCGCAGAGAAAGGCATGAAGCAAAGGGGTGGCGTCCAGTCACATTCTCAGGAGAAAAGCCAGTGGGTCAAAGACCTAAGAAACAGGGCTTTCTTAAATACTCACCAAACCCAGGCATGGGTAACCCCACAACCCACACACATCTGCCCTCTGTGCCCATAGATGCAGTACCTCTGGGTCAGGACACACAGCACTGTTCCTGTGCTGGGCTTAGATGTACATAGAGATAAGACTGCCTGTAAACAGAAGGGAGGCCTGATGACAAGGGGTACTGAGGCCAGACCCACCTCCACATGAGGCCTGAATCCCTGGAGTCTCCCTGTCTGGGACACTAGCCTCTGCCTGTGCACTGCCAGTGACACTGAGCTCTTGGTCACTTTCAAAGTAGTTTAATCATCACAATCAACAGCTCTAGTAGTCAGGTACTGAGAATCTGTAGAATGGAAACAAAGAATGTTAAACCCACCCCACCACAAAGTGGGATAGGCAGGAGCTGTTTATTATAGCCTTCTGACCTAAAGTTACTAACTGTCAGGATGGTATTATGCTACTAATGATAAAAGATACCCTTCATTTGATGCTTACTGTGTGTCAGGCTCAGGTCTGAACATTTTTATTAAGCCTCAACCCTATTTTTAGAGAAGAAGTGGAATTCTGGGGGCAGAGGCAAGTTTCATATGCTGTGAGGCTTGTGCTTGGGATTGGGGCTCAGCACACAAAGTTTGAAGCTCTACATCTAGGGGTGAATTCTTGTGACATATTACATATCCATGTTGTGGAGGTGACTGGTGTTGTGATTTACAGGCCTTGTTTGAGGACTATATTGTTGACATGTCATGGATACACCTTCCCTCTGTGTCTAGAAGACACTCTCTACCAGCAGGCATCTGGTATTATGACTCTTACAATCATTTCACCATCACCACTTCTATGATGTTCACTAATTCTTAGCTATGTAGATTGTGTTGTAGATTGCTAAAGGAGGCTAAGCACACCATGACCACTTATTCTCTGCATTTTGACAATAATATCTGTCTATTGTAAAAGAAGAAGAAAAGGAGGAGGAGGGAGAGGAATGGGAATGAAAGAAAAACAATAGAAGTAGAGAGAATAAAAGAGGAGGACAAATGAGGAGAAGGAGAGGAAGGAGGAGGAGGAGGAGGAGATTTCATGAGGAAGGAGAGTGACCTTGATCTATGGGTATAATCATAGGCATTTTCAAAAAAGTTGGAAAATGTATTGGTTTAGGGAATTGGAAGTAGTAAATTCTCCTCTAAGGTTAACACCAAAAGGCTTGCTAACATAGAAGGGGGAAAGCTCATGAGAATTCAACCCTATACAAAGATCTACAGGCAGCTAAGGAATACTGAGAACAGGGAGGAACATATCAACTGAGTATCCAACAACAAATAATCAGTCTCAAAACAAACATACAAGTGACATTATATGGACTGATCAGGTGTTATTTGTGTGTTTAGGATCTCACACACACATGATATTTTCTATATTTTATTTATTTATTTATTCATTCATTCAATGTGTCTTTTACTTCATGTATCTTTTTTTTGTTTTATGAGACAGGGTTTCTCTGCATTGTTTTGGAGGCTGTCAGTCCAGCCCGGCCTCGAACTCACAGAGATCTACCTGTATCTGCCTCCCGAGTGCTGGGATTAAAGGCGTGCACCACACCGCCCGGCTTACTTTATGTATCTTGACTCCAGTAATTTCCCCATTCCTACTCCTCAGCACTCCACCCCTGCACACCCACAAAATAAAACAAAATTTAAGAAAAAAATAATAATAAAATAAATTAAATTTTAAAAGGGAAGAACTTGACAAATCCAACTTTGCCCCCAACCTCACCCATCCCTGGCAATCTCAGTGGCTCCCTGAAACAGACATCTACTGCACAGAGAAACCTGAGAGAGAGGACAAAGAGGGTCGAATCAAGAAGCAAAGATACTCCATACACCAAGCAGAAAAAGAGATGGGTAGGATACATTCAAAAACCTAAAAAGCAATATGGCAACACCAGAACCTAGTGGTACTACATCAGGAAGACCTGAACATCCCAATGCAGAAGAAGTTGAAGCTAATGACCTTAAAAATAACTTGATCAAGCTGATAGAGCCAATTAGGAAGAAATGAAGAATTTCTTTAAAGAAATGGAGTAAAAGGCAAACAAAAATGGAAGAAATTTATAAATCCCTTTAAAAATCCAAGAAAAAGCAAGTCT